CCTATCTTTGTGCAGACCTTTTTTTCTGTGCTTCAAGGCATGGAGTTAGTTGTGAGCAGTAAGCTGCCCGTGATTTAGAGGTTAATGGAGTGGTGGATTCACAGTATGTGTGTACAACTCAAGTTATTTCATCAGCCTCTTTTGGAAGCTGTAGTGAGCCTTGTCCTGTATTCATGTAGTGAAATTAATTTAGGTGACAGGATTTGGATTCTTTTTTTGATTGACAGTTGCTTTTGGTGAAAGACTTATCAGCAAAGAGGTAGTGCTGTGAAGCTTCTCTGACTTGTGCATAAGAAATTCTTGGGAGGACCTTAGGTGTGTCATCATTTTTATTGCCCAGACATAAACAGGGCAAAGTCCATACTGTTTTAGGGTAGGTTAGGATGCATCTAGAAACTGGTGTCGGCTGTGAGTTGCTGTTCAGTCAGCTCAGTATTAACAGGTTGGCTCTTGATCTTCGTAGAGTTGCTGACTATCCTGAGTTGGAAAGGACCCATAAGGAATGCTGAATCCAACTCCCAGCTCTGCACAGGACCACTGACCACCATCCAAACCCTATGTCTGAGAGCTGTGCCAAAGCACTCCCTGAACTCTAATATCTGTGGCCATGCCCACTGCCCTGGGCAGCCTGTGCCATGCCCACCACCCTCTAGTGCAGAACCTGTCCCTAACTCCCACCTCTTCTGACACAGCTCCGTGCTGTGCCATCTTTATAAAATAATTTGTGAGTCAATTGAATTTGTAGCTTACCCCAGGTAGTGATAGAACTTGCTAGCTTTCCCAGACCAGCAGCTGGTTTGGGGTGGAATATGACCCATGGGCCATCTGAGGTGCCTCTGGTGCAAATAGCCTCTACAGTTCTGGCAGAAGGAGCATATGAGTGTGTCTTCTGAAAGACTATTGAGTTACGATGCTGGTTGTTCAGAGAACAAGGCTTGCAAACAGTGCTATGGAGAGGGCGTGACAATAGTTTGCCATCTACTGATTATTTACTTGGACAAGCAGAATCATAGTATGTCCAGGAGATGTGTGTTGATCGTGTGTCTCTAGCCCTGGTGTTTTGGTAGTTACCTGGTGTATTTTCTGCTCTCACTTAAGAAGTGCAGAAGAAATAGGCAGGGGAACAGTGTACGAACACTTGAACAACCAGCTGAAGCCTATCCATGCCTGCCTGCTTTGTGCCAACACCAGTGAGCGTGTGGCCACCTGGTTGGCTGAAGCAGGAAGGCTGTCTGCTGAAAATTAATCCAGTCTTTTCTAGAGTTAGTTTTCAGCTGGATCACAAGTGCAAATGGTGGCTGGAAGGGATAGACTTGGATATTCTTAGACTGATAGAAGTTATTTCCTTGGCAGCAGCATGTGCTTGGCCTACTGAAGGTAGGGCAGTGTTTTGACAAGCCTATCTTTTGACAAGAATGCATCTGGGTCCAGTACTGGTTGTATTACAGATGTGTGCTTCGTCCTGGGAAAGGGTGAGAACAGCTTTTGCTGAGAGATAGGAGCAATTTCAAGTGTAGTTAAAAGTCCCTGATAAGGGCTGTATCTAGAAGTATGGACTGATCTGAGGTATTGAGAGTGTTCTGTGTCCCCACCTCCTCAGTTGTCGTGGGGAGATGTGTGCGGTGTTGGAACACTCATATCGACTTGCCTGTTTGCTTACACATGATCTTAAAGGAGTGTGACAGCTGAATAAAAGCACTGAATAACACTTCCTGCGTCCTCCTTGTTTCCTAGTTGCACTCTTATCAGTGAGGTGTATAATCAGATACTCTGTTAAACAGCAGCTTATTAAAAAAAAGTAACGTGCAGTTCAGTTGCAAGCGTGCAGGAAAGGCAGATGTTAACCAACTGTTAAGGTGTACATGTGTGTGAAAACCAGCAGTGAAGTCTGGGCTCACCTTTTGTCAGCGTAGGTGTTGTCCCACTTAAGTGGTTAAATGAGGATGGGGGAAATAGGATGTGCCCTTCCCAGCCAAATTGTGCGAAAGGAGCTGGTGCGTTCATTCATTGCCTTAGCCCATCTCTCCAGTCACATGGGGAACCCAGTGGTGGATGCACACATTTCTTCCTGGTGGCAGCAGCTCAGACTGCTGCTGATGCCACTTCTCTCGGTCCCTCCCGAGGCTACAGCTCTTTGCAGAGCAGTCTCATAACTCCAGCTGCTCTCTCATCTCTTTCCTGCTTCACTACCCCAGTTACAATTCAGGGTGCTGGCTCAGCTTGCATTCAAAGTCATCGCTTGTTTTCAATAGCAGCAGGCTTCTAGCCTTTTTCTTTTTCCATGCTGGTTTTGGGCTTTTGCCACCCTTGGTCCAGCACAGATTGACAGCCTCAGAAAGGCAATGTGGGGAAAAAAAGAGCTGCACTCTTTCTTGTACGCTGAAAGGTTTCTTGCCTTTAATGCTTCGTGTCACAGTAAGGCCATAAGTTTGATACTTTCATCTACTTGGTATGCCTTTATTTCATCTCCACATTCTCCTCCTCAAAGAGGGAGAAAAGACTGAAGTGAATCAGTGATAGCTACAGCTGTTCCTGCTGAAGCAGCCACAATGCTGTACACCTCCAAGTACCTGGTCACTTGTTGCTGTCAAGCAATGCAAGCCCTGCTTCTGCAGTCTGAGGGCGCAAAGAGGGAGCAAGCTACTTTGTGTGGTTTGTTTTTTCTTCTTTTAACTTCTGTTTGCATCTCAGTAATATGGTGGTTAGTTCACAGAAGATGGTTCATGAGTAAGTTGCTGTTAGGTAAGATGAGTATCTATGTCTTGTTAGTTACTCAGTAGTGGCTGCTTGTGTGCATGCTCTCACCTTATTGCTGAGTAGCAAGTTGTCTTACACCGGCCGTGGGCTAAGACTGTGCTAGTGAGCAGCAAAGGGAAGTAAACTAGAGAGTGGTGTTACCTTGCAATAACCTTCTATTTTATACCTCATAATGCCAATTTGAACTTGAATGTTTCAAGCAACAGAGCTCCAGCCGTTTCTGCTGATAGATTCTGTCCATCGTGATGTGTGCTGGTGTTTGTGCTTTCTCTTTTAAGGGAAAGGGTGAATTTGTTGCTGTGGTGACAGCAGTGTGTCAGTATAGGCACTGACATGGCACTGCCAGCATTGTTGTCTTGGGTGGGGAAAGGGAAGAAGCGATAGGAGGAGGTAATTGGAGTCAGGGATCATTGTGCTGCTGTTGTACGTTTTGCTGGATGAGGCAGCTTGTTGCAATAGGTAGTTGTTTCAGTTTCTGTCTGCAGGTGTGACTTAGCTAGATAAGGATGGTCTATCACGTTGATGATTTCATTGTTTGATTTGGCTGGATTGAGTGGAGAATGTAGCTCCATTGTTTGGGACCAGCATTGTAGTTTGGTTTTGTTGAAGTGTATTACATGGCAAGGTATTGCCTCATTATTAAGGTGAAGCTGCAGTAGATAACAGTTGGAGAACGTCGGAGGGAAGAGGACATGCAGAGTGTTTCACAGTGCACACTGAGCCTCACAACAGCTCCTGTGCTCCCGTTGGAGGGATCTGGTCAGCAGAAAAGACTGAGGTAGCACAGAAAAAACACTGGTAGCTCTTTTGGCGTGCAGTCACACTAAATGCAAGGCTATCTGCTGGTGTAAGCACGGGGTGCTCAGAGAGACTGCGTTGGCTCTGACAGTTCGGATGCTGTCTGGCTTCATACTGCTCCTGCAGCCTCTCTCTCAGAGTGGTTGAAGGAGAAGAAGCTGGCAGGTAGCTAGCTGGTCTTTCTTTACTGACCTCAAATTTACTATTGAGCTGCTCCTCAAAGTCTGTTTCCCTGTGTCAATATGTTTTCAGGCACTTGTGTTTTCTTTGAGATGTGGCTGAGCATTACTGTTGGAGGGCTGTCTCCAGTACTGAAAGTGTGGCTCTTAGCCTATGAACTCCTTTGACCTACAACCGTAGTGGCAAAGGGTCCCTTCTGCACTTCTCACAAGCAAACTTCAGGGCTGTCCTACACGGAAAGGTTTTGGCGTGAGTTCCCTTCTCCCCGGGGCATAGCACAGTGACATGGAATAAGGGCTGGTAGAACAGCAGGTTGTGCATCTTCCTTCTAAAACCTGCCTGGTTCTCCCCTAGATGTGGTGGAGCCGTTAGCTGGCTTTACCTGATACTTCATGTTTTTATTTATGGCTTTTGTGGATGTGGAGGAGGTTTTGTATGGAGCATAGGGGTTTGGCTGGACTCACAGTGAGGGGAAAGTAAGCTTTTGAAGAGGAATGGGTGCAGAGAAAGGGGAGGTTGCTCATACGAGCCTTGTGCCAGCTTCTCAGAGCACAGATGAGCTCATGGGAATCCAGCAAGCTTAAATGTGGGAGTGTTGAAGCAGGTCTGAGCTACCTCCTCTCTGCACATCCTTGTGCCACAGGCTTCTTCAGATGGTTCTAGTCTGACGATGGCGTTTTTGCTTCTGATGAATGTTGCCAGCCTAGGCAAAGGCTCTCCCCATCAGTGATTGAGAGCAAGTTTTGATTCGTCTGCTTCTGGAGCTAGGTGCAGGGAAGGAAGGGGTGGCAGCTGGCTGGGCTGCATGTTCTTGTTGCTGTGTTGCTGAACTCTGCCTCTCTCCTTGTTTTCAGGTGATCATTGCTTGTGAGAGGAGTGGTTTGCACCTCATGGCCTCCACAATGAGTACTGCTGTGTCGTGACGCCAGGGGTCTTGGTAAGCTACTTGAGGGAAAGGGGAGGGCCTTTAATGTTTCCACAAACATGGGTACAGCCCTTTTGTCGGCGAAATTGATGTTTGAAGTCTTAAGCCATCCAAAGTGCGAGCTGCCTCCAAGTTGGGTGAGGCTACTTTTCGCCTGTTCTCGCCTCCTCCTTTGAGCTTGCAGTGGCACTGTTGTGGTTGCATCATCAACCAGATCGGGGGAGACTGATCCAGCTGAAAGGAGATTTCTCCTGTTTGCCTTGGGTTGATTCCCATTCAGATATTCCCCTGATCTGGTCAGGAGAGAGGTGAGAATGAGCAGATAGTCGAACCACCCTGGCATGCCTTTAAGCAATCCTGAAAATACAGCCTCAGATGCAGCTTGCCAAAATACTTCGAAAAGTTGCTTCACCATCAGTGACCCTACCTTTAATTTTAAAGTAATGATAAGGGCTGTGCTATGCCAGGCAGAATCCAGCTGTAAAAATGCATTTCACTAGAGATTTTCCGTTGTTGGGCCCTAGTTTTCCAGACAGACGTATGTTAGAAGTACATTTAGAAAAATCACGAGGCATTCAATTTCAGATTATAAAAGATGGCATGTTCCCTGTGTACAGTGTACCATTCTGGTAGATGGAAGATATGCATATAGTATAAAATGTAGGGTTAAAAAAAAAAAAAGGAGGTTTTTTAATTTCCCCTGTGAAGTACTTGTAAGTTTGGTGATGTCAGAAATCTTGTACAGGCAGTGTGGTCATGATTCTGATCTTCAGTGTTTTTCTATTGATTGCACTGGGAATCTGAGATAATTCTCATGTTGCTGTAAAAGGTAACATCGTGATGCATAAGTATCGAAAATGGAAGGAAAGCAGAGGAAGAAACAACTAGAATGCCCGAAGTCCATCACTCAGGCACTCCTATGCTTCTTTTAGATTGAGCTCAGCTCATTTTAAAGCTGTTGTTCCTATTCACTTTTTTTAAACATGAAATTCGCTGTATTTTCAGTCACACCTTCACCTTCTCTAGAATCACTGACTTTTACTGATGCATAAATCTCTTCTGAAAAGCAGAATTAGGTGCTGTTGATAATGTCACAGGTTTGTTTTCAGAACAGTTGTAGTAGAATCTGCACAGGAAGCTGGAACCATTTAGTTACTTAGGAAGATGTTTTCTTTTGTCTTCAGTGTGTAGGTATTGCAGCAGCTCCAATTACAGCATGATAGTGGTAACAACAGTAATAGAGTAACACAACATTGTTCTCAGAATCAATGGGCTAACCAGTTTAAAGCCCCAGAGAGGCATGTGGATCTTGTGGAGTGTGCAGCTCAGGCTGGAGTTCATCTGATTGTGCCTAGTGAGAGGCAGGACAAATGAGGCCGTTACTGCAGAAACATGCCCTGTGTTAATGAGTTGTGCAGCACAGCGGAGGTAAGACTATGGAGCAGGCTTCTTGGTGAAGGAGGTACATAGCAGAGAGGAGAATTTTTGGAGGTGATGTTCCTCATGGAAGGATCGCAGTGTAGAGAGCTGCCCTGTTAACACACAGCAGTGCAAAGTCACTAAGAATTGTAATGGCACAACCTCACAGCAAGATCATTTGGGGAACTGGAGAACTCAGTAACACAAGTTACCGATAACGCTTGTTGGCTAAAGGTGGTCATATAAGTACCAGAATTTCTTAGTCCTCTCATGTCAACGTATAAGCAAACCAATTTTTTGCTTTTTAAATACAATTCAAGTGGTAGTTTCTCAATAATACATATTCAGCATATTCCCTTTCTGATACATACAGAAAGAAACTGCTTCTTCTTTGGTGCTGGGAAGGAATACCAGGAATATTTACATTTGAATAATGTTTAACTAGCAATGCTTAATACATTAACAATAAATCTTGGTTAGATTCTAAATTAAGTGGATTTGCATCTGAGTAGATGAGATGAAGAGAAGAGATTCTGTTGAAACATAAACAAGATAGAGATTTGTTCCAAAATAATCTAGCCCAAAGGATGTAAACCATAATGTTCAATAGTTTCCTCCTTCAGAATCAGTTCTGTGTGCCGTGTTGCTTGCATCATGAGTGTTTAATAGGTAATAAGCTGAAATGACACTTATTTTGTTGTGTGCTCCTTCTTGTTGTTTGTTTATTAGCGTCCCAATAGTTTGTACCTTGTTGCTGAGCAAATTTTAGAGGGACTGCTCTCTAGTGATCTTTTGGCCTTTCTAGTAGGAAATAATGACTGACTAACTTCTCTGGTATTTACAGAGTAATCACAGCATAGCTGGTTGCTTACAGGTGGACAGGAAGGCATTTTATTTTATTTTCCTCCCTCTGTGCAACTCCTAGCACACATCACTGAACATATGTCTAGTTATATTGGACCAGGGAGACAGAAAAGATTTGAGCAGAGTTTATGTTCTTAAGAAATATCAGATTACGGCCATTCATGGGGGACTTCTAGATAGCTAAGTCATGATGGGGATTTGTAATTTTGGCTTCCTGCTGACTTGCTCTGAGGTGTCTTCATGCTGAGCACAGAGATGGAATCAAAGCATGCAGGTATGAGAAGCTTCCCTGCTTTATTGTCTCCAGAGCCGTTTGCTTTGGATGAAGGGAAGCTGGCCTCACTGCCTGTAAACTGAACGGCCAACCAGGGCTGCCTCTGTTTGAAATACACAGACAGCTGTGCTGAGCCATCTGAAAGCTCTTCTCCTGCGTCTTCTCAGTAACGGGGAAGGACTGCCATTTACTGCTTCGCATCAGAGACATCTGCTTGGAAAGCTCCTCACCGGATTTCTGTTCTCTTCTTGTGGGATGGTTTTAACAGTGTGCCCTGGAGATGCGAGACTTCCCCTGGGCAGCAGGAGGCACGCGTCTAGAGAATGCTGGAGCTGCAGGAGGGAAGCACCCCGTGCAAAACCAGAGAGGAGCAAAGAGAAAAAAGGCAAGCAGACAGACAGCACTGAGAGAAGCGGGTGGCAGAAAGTGCTACAGAGCTGCCTCTGGCGGCACAGTCCCCAGAGGAACTTGACGAGAGCCCATCTGCGTGCGTGTGAGACAGCTCAGGATTTCTGTCAATGCATTCCAGTAACCCCAAAGTGAGGAACTCCCCGTCAGGCAACACACAGAGGTAAGGAAAACAGTCTGCTGGCTTGGTGCATGATGCTGTCCCTGCTCTGTTGTGGCGTTAGCCAGACTGATGCATGTGACTTACCGATCTTCCTCTGCGCTCTTGTCGGGCAGCTGTGCAGTGCCAGTGTGCCTCCACGTTTGCCAGGCTCAGAGTGAACCGAAAGAGCTCTAAGCCCATGAAGTTTGGATTCTGTGCTCCTCATGGCCTCCTCCCTTCCATCAGGCATCTAAATAGGTTGTAGGAGAGCGATCATGCTGTTTCTATCTGTGTTCTTCCCTCCATCCCCTTCTAATCATCTGTTTTCCCTAGGGGTGGTTGGACAGCGGGAGGTCTCTCTGCCTGTATTTTCACACAAAATGCTTCCTTCCTATTATGTGCCTGAACTGAATGGCCTGGAGAACTGATCAGCTGTGCGCTGAGGTCCTCTGTATCATTCACCTGCTGGTGCAGCAGGTCAGCATCTCTCCTCTGCTAATTTGGAAGGGAAAAATATGGAAGTGAAGCAGCGTCCAGGGACTTGCGATGGTCTGATTGACAGCATTTTCAAGTTTGATTATTTACTCCTAGAGGTGATGTGGAGCTTTTCAGTAACTCAGAGGGAATACCTCTAATTCAGATGTCTGTCCAAAGGAAGAAATAGCATGTGCGAGTCCCATGGTGGGGATGCTAGCGAACGCTGCCTATTGGAAGTGGCACTGATGTTAAGAAAACCGAATGCAGTAGAAATGGAGTAACTGGAGGCAGAGGAGGAAAGGATGACTGATACATGGGTAAAACCTAGAGGATCAAAATATTTTTAGGATGCAATTGACTGGATGGAGGAGGGGAGGAGAACACTCTGAATATCCTTCAGCAAATGAAAGAAGCTTCATTTGCCCTATTTCAAAGGAGTGTGCAGGGCGATAGTATCCTTCTCTTTCTTTATTCAGAAGCAGGTTGTAGCTGGTTTAATTGTTTTCACGGTCAGAGATTTGTGTTTTCCTGGCGGCTCGCCCCGATGTATGATGAATGCTGCAGTAATGCTGGGTTTTCCTTGTGCTCCCTGTAGAACTGGATAGGGAGGTGCGTGGCGGGGGGGGGAGGGGGGGGGATCTGCTCAGATCAAGGCTACACTGTGTAATTTGGGTCCGTGAGAGCAGTGAGGTGAACTTTATTGTGCTGTGTTTGTTTACTCTGAGCTGGTCTTGGTGTGAGGCGCTTCTCTGTGCACATAGAAACCGTTGTCTTTATTGACAGAAGCCCCAGAGGTAGGTCCTCATGTGACAGCAGTTCCTGGGATCTGGCAGGTCTGTAGCTTGCTTTTGTGTCTTCTTGAGCAACGAGATCCCATCTTGGATAATGACCCTTTCAGGGCATGTTCAGAAAACCACCTGGATGACTCTAAGCTTGCAGGCATTTCTTATTTGTCAGCAGTTGTCTTTAGCTTGCAAAGGTGGCAGAGATTGTTTCTACTTTCTGTTCCCACAGGGTTGAATGAATCCACGGAGTGATTTGTCACTTTCTTTTTATTTTTTTTTTTTTTTTTAATTTTTTTCCTTTTTTTCTTCTGCCCCCAGTAGCCCCAAATCAAAGCAGGAGGTGATGGTCCGTCCCCCTACAGTGATGTCCCCATCTGGCAACCCCCAGCTGGATTCCAAGTTTTCCAACCAGGGCAAACAAGGGGGCTCGACCAGTCAATCCCAGCCCTCTCCCTGTGACCCCAAAAGTGGAGGTCATCCCCCGAAAGTGCTCCCTGGCCCAGGTGGGAGCATGGGGCTGAAGAATGGGGCTGGAAATGGTGCCAAGGGGAAGGGAAAGAGAGAGAGAAGCATTTCAGCAGACTCCTTTGAACAGAGGGAAGCTGGGACTCCTAATGACGACCCTGAAATCAAAGGTATGTTTGCTAGGATATGTGCACAACTACAGACAATTGGTGTGCATCGTCTGTGAGATGGAGAATTGCTATGCATGTGTTTCCAGCCAAAGATATCTAAAGGTCTTGAGAGCAAGTAGAGAGGGGATGCCATAGCTGACATCAGTAAGCATGTCCTCTTGTTCATGTTAAGTTGAAGTGCAGACCCACTCTGGTAGGAAAGTTCCTTTGTAACTCTGAAACTCCCCCAAGGATTTGAAAGTACAAATACAACCTGTTGGTTTCCTTCTGGCTTTTGGCCTTCCAGGAACTACTCTGTTGTAACTGGGGTTTTGAACGATATGCAAGCCTGTTTTGTCAACACAGATACATAACCTGTAGCGCCCTGACTGGTAACACAAACCAGAGAGTTGGGATTTCTGCATTCTGTTCCTGGCTTCAAGTGTTGTCATTGTAAGGTGGTGTGAAAATAGACAAGTCATTTGTCCATCTTTCATTTATTTCATCTGTTTGCTAGGTCGGTCTCCTGGCTAAGGTGACTGGAGGAGGAGGGAAAAGCAGAGTTTGTTGCAGTGCTCTCCTTGAATGCGGACATTTTTATATTTGCACATTTTAGTGTGTAGTCTTCCTGCTGTTCTCTGTGGCCATTAGAGATTGCAGAGATCAGCTCTGGGAACTGCCACTTGTCTTAGAATGTGACAAGATGAGCTTTCCCCAGCAGTATCTCTAGGGCAGCATTGCATTAAAGGGAAGGGGCATGGTGCAATAAATGGATTGCCTTGATTAGTGCTTGGTGGATAAGCAGGAAACTTCAGAGGAAGATAAACTCTGTCAGTTTGCAAATGCGAACCAGAAACGGTTTCAGGAGAGGTGCCAAGATGTGATTTCTCCTCTTCTTTCCTCCTTCCAGACTGCAATTCTGCTGATCATGTGAAGTCCCAGGATTCTCAGCACACACCGCACTCCATGACACCTTCAAATGCTTCAGCCCCAAGGTCTTCCACACCTTCCCATGGCCTGACTGCTGCTTTGGAACCAGCAAGTGGGCAGAAGACTCCATCCAAAGTGGTTTATGTCTTTTCTACTGAGATGGCCAACAAGTAGGTAGATGCTTGAATGTCTTCAGGGAGAGGGGCTTATATTTTTATTCCCTTTTCATGACACTCTCAGGTGCCCTTTCTCTGTCATGTGTGTTTTCGTAGCAAAAAAAGCAATGCTAAGTGTTTTGACGATGCGTCCCCAGTTGGTGTGGGGAAGAGGCCTCTTGCTCTCTGAGAAGTAATGATATATTCCTATGGGGTGCATTTTTGGCAGATGTCAATAAGATATTGATTTGCAATCCACGCAGCAAGTATAAGCTGGAGTGACTTAAACCTAGGTGTGACCCCTAAGAGTTGTTGAGTTCGTGGATGTGAGTATTTTCCTTTTGCTGCTTATCTGATATCAGATATGTGGGGTTAAGTCTTTTATCCTTCTGCCAGCTGAAAGGTGAAGGATGCTGATTAGGAAAGTTTGATTCTTAGCTTCAACTGGATATGTGTGTCTGTCTGTCTATCTTTGCAGGGCTGCAGAAGCCGTGCTGAAGGGACAGGTGGAAACCATTGTGTCCTTTCATATCCAAAACATCTCAAACAGCAAGGTGGAACGAAACACTGTACCCTTGGTAGGGAGCTGCCTGCAAGTGGGTGGGAAGGGAAATGTTAAGTGTGCTTGTGCATGTGTGATTCAGAGAGATGGGTGATGCTCTGAAATAAGTTTTAGGATGGAAAAGAGAGAGATGGTTGTTCTGCAAATAAATGTCTTGAATTATCCAAAGGAATGTTTATCTTGCAATACTTGGGTAGTGTATTTCCAACCCATCGATCATGCAGAGCTAATGCAGAAGGAAGGAGTACCTGCTGTAACGCTTGAGCAAAAATATTGGGGTTTTTTTGTTTTGTTTTGTTTTTTTTAAGGCCAAAATGCTGCTCTGTAAAATGCCTTTTACAAGGATGCTACCCTTCCTTGCAGAGCCTGGGCTGGTGGGGTTATGACAGGACATTGTTATTGGCACCTCTGCTTATGTGGCACAGCTGTAAGAAGAGAGTGATGGCACGTGGCTTTCTCTTTCAGAACCCCCAGATCAATGCACTTCGGACTGAACCCAAACCCCTGCCGCAGCCACAGCCCCCTACTGCCCAGGACCAGAACCCTCCTCAGAACGCCAAAATGCAGCCAACTGCACCTGTGTCAGCACCAGTATCCAAATCCACTGGTCCCCCGTGTCCCATAGACCAGGACAGTCCCAGTGTGGAAAGCAAAGTGATGTCTGTGGGCAGCCCTGCCAACTCGACCCCGCTGCAGACAGAAGGATTTGGGCAGAGTTCAACCCCCAATAATCGAGCAGTTAGCCCCGTTTCCCAAGGTAGCAATAGCTCTGCTGCAGACCCCAAAGGTCCTCCCCAGCAGGTGTCTGGTGGGGACCCATCCAGTTTGGGTGAGAATCCAGATGGACTGTCGCAGGAGCAGCTGGAACATCGAGAGCGCTCTTTGCAGACCCTGAGAGACATACAGCGCATGCTCTTCCCTGATGAGAAGGAGTTTGCTGGAGGGCAAAGCGGAGGGCCACCTGCAAATTCTGGGGTGATGGATGGGCCCCAAAAGAAACCTGAAGGGCCAATACAGGCCATGATGGCGCAATCCCAAAGTTTAGGCAAAGGGTCAGGGTCTCGGACAGATGGAGGGGCTCCGTTTGGCCCTCAAGGACACAGGGACATGCCCTTTTCCCCAGATGAAATGGGGCCACCACCAATGAACTCCCAGTCGGGACCTATAGGCCCAGACCACCTGGACCACATGACTCCTGAGCAGGTGGCCTGGCTCAAGCTGCAGCAGGAGTTCTACGAGGAGAAGAGAAGGAAACAAGAGCAGGTTGTTGTGCAGCAGTGTTCCCTGCAGGACATGATGGTCCATCAGCACGGGCCTCGTGGGGTTGTCCGAGGCCCCCCTCCTCCCTACCAGATGACCCCCGGGGAAGGCTGGGGACCTGGGGGTCCAGAGCCCTTCCCTGAAGGCATGAACATGTCACACTCTCTGCCCCCCAGGGGTATGGCCCCTCATCCTAATATGCCTGGGAGCCAGATGCGCCTGCCTGGTTTTGCGGGAATGATGAACCCTGACATGGAGGGCCCCAGTGTCCCAAATCCTGCCTCTCGGCCAGGGCTTTCAGGAGTCAATTGGCCAGACGACGTGCCAAAAATCCCAGATGGCCGAAACTTCCCTCCTGGCCAGGGTGTCTTCAGTGGCCCTGGCCGAGGGGAGCGGTTCCCCAACCCGCAGGGCCTGCCGGAAGAGATCTATCAGCAGCAGCTGGCTGAGAAACAGATGGGCCTCCCTCCTGGCCTCAACATGGAAGGCATCAGGCCTGGCATGGAGATCAACAGAATGATCGCCTCCCAGAGACACATGGAGCCTGGGAATAACCCCATCTTCCCTCGCATGCCAGTGGAAGGGCCGATGAGCCCCTCCAGGGGGGACTTCCCAAAAGGAATGCCCCCCCAAATGGGCTCTGGCAGGGAGCTGGAGTTTGGGATGGGCCCTGGTGGCATGAAGGGGGACATGGGCATGAATGTCAGCATGGGCTCCAACCCACCCCTGGTACCTCAGAAGTTGAGGGAGGCGGGAGTCGGACCGGAAGAGATGATGAAACTGCGACCGGGTGTCTCGGAGATGCTCTCCTCTCAGCAGAAGATGGTGCCGCTGCCGTTTGGGGAGCACCCGCAGCAGGAGTATGGCATGGGTCCCAGGCCTTTCCTTCCCATGTCTCAGGGCCCGGCAGTTGGTCTCCGAAACCTCAGAGAACAGATAGGGCCTGACCAAAGGACTAACAACCGGCTCAGCCACATGCCGCCACTACCTCTCAATCCCACCAGTAACCCTAATAGCCTCAACACTGCTCCCCCTGCGCAGCGCAGCCTGGGCCGCAAGCCCTTGGATATCTCCGCAGCCGGTCAGGTGCATTCTCCAGGAATCAATCCTCTGAAGTCTCCCACCATGCGCCAGGTCCAGTCTCCCATGATGGGGTCTCCCTCGGGGAACCTCAAGTCTCCTCAGACGCCCTCCCAGCTGGCAGGAATGCTCGCAGGCCCCACCGCCGCAGCTGCCGCTGCTTCCATCAAGTCCCCCCCGGTCTTGGGGTCTGCTGCTGCTTCTCCTGTCCACCTCAAGTCCCCGTCTCTCCCCGCACCTTCTCCAGGATGGACTTCGTCTCCGAAGCCTCCTTTGCAGAGCCCTGGCATCCCCCCGAATCACAAGGCGTCTCTCACCATGTCTTCTCCAGCCATGCTGGGGAACGTGGAGTCGGGTGAGTGTTGCCTTTTCCAGCCTGGCCCGGCTCTTTGGCTTCGATGGGTTATCCAGAGGTTTGGAGAGGGCTCTCGCATGGGTGTCAGGGTGAGGGATTGTCTTTGGGAGGACAGTGGAGTGAAAGGGTACTCCTCGGTGTCTTTGGCCTGTTGGTGGCACGTGCCATCCACAACCTTGCAGAGGAGCAGGCTGTACCCTGCAGCCAGGCTCCAGGCGCAGAAGCTCTTTCCAGCCTGGAGAGATCTCGCTGAGAGCCGGCCGGAGGCTGGGAGAGGCTTGCCCACGTTGCCCTCTAGTGCTGCCGTGGGTAACAGCGCTGCAGAGGCTCGGCTGGGACGTGGCTGGTGAGACTGGAATCTCCAGCAGCAGTGGTGACAGGCAGGGTGACCCCTTACATCACATGAGCAGGGCTGCTGGCTGTGTCTCCCTGCCGTGGGCTGTGCGGTAGGGGAGCCAGCCTGGCTGTTGGTGTCTGCCCAGCACGAGCTGCAGCTCCTGCAAGTCGGAACCAAATGCTTCAGTCTGCGCCTGAAGGATGCCTTTATATCTAATGCTTTCAAAGTGGAAATGTTCTGGCACTGCAGGATTTTTGTCTTCTCTGTTCTGTCTTCCCTCTTCCGGGGTGGGCTAAAACGTGCAGTGAATTTTGAGGGATGGTACAACTTTGATTTAACGTCTTTCCTTCAAATGTGTTCTGAGGGGTGCAGAATTCATTGCTAAAGAACAAAGGAGGTTGGAAGTGCAGATATTTCTAATTTTGGGAGGGCGAAGGATTATGTTAAGCCAATAGGTACTGGTGTGAGCAGTGAACATATATACATGTATAAAATTAAAAGTGAAATTTGAAGGAGTTTTGTTTGTAGCTCCTAACGTATCTTGTCAGAAATCTGCCCATGTTTCTCAGCATAATATCTGCTACATCTCTTCATTGCACTGCATATGTCTCTTGTGCTTGTTAGATGCCTCCTAAAGAAAAAGAGAAAGGCATTACAGTTGACACTTGGTGGGTGCAGGAACAATTAATTGACCCTGTATTCAGTTTGGATTTCTGTGACTAGATGTGGTACATACATCTGTCTTTAGTGCAAGGAAGTCAAATTGTAGGATTTGCAGACTTGCCTGATCATTCTTGTGAGTTTGTTCAGGCTCAGGATAGTTACAGTATAGTGTAGGATAACAAATGTTAACCGTCTTGACTGACTGATAGGCTTATTTTTCTGGTTACCTTGCACAGGCATTGACTGCAGTAGTCAGATGGTCTCCTGTAATAAAAGAGCTTTCTAGTTTTTGAGCGCTCTAGAAGAAGAAACCGTGAAAAGATTTTAAAGAAAATTTCCCCTCCTCTTTTCCTAAGGTGGTCCACCTCCTTCCACCGTCAGCCAGCCTGCTCCTGTGACTCTCCCTGGAAATCTTCCCTCTAGCAGTCCTTACACAATGCCTCCAGAGCCGACCCTCTCCCAAAATCCTCTCTCCATTATGATGTCCAGGATGTCCAAATTTGCCATGCCCAGCTCAACACCGCTCTATCACGATGCCATCAAAACTGTGGCCAGTTCAGATGATGACTCCCCTCCTGCACGCTCCCCAAACTTGCCTCCTATGAACAGTGTACCAGGTAAGAAATTCAAGGGAACATAAGCTCAAGCTGTCAGACAGCACAGTGGGGATTTTTATGGAAGTTTAATCAGATGAAGATGGTGAGAGGTAAAACCTTGAAGGATGTAGAGCCATGGGTTGCTTTCAGGGAAGGCAGTTGCAGTTCTCTGAAGTGGAGAGATGGAAGTTCTCTTTGCAACTAGTTTTTCTGACTGGAAAGTGTATTTTCTTTGTAAAGCATCTAAACTAGGAAACTGTGTATGTATAGGAGAGATTTCAGCACAGGTTGAAGGAAATTACTTGTGTGAGTGAAAGCTGCTCATGGGGGTAAATGCCAGACCTACAATGTACTATCCAGAGAAAACTCTTCTTCCTTTGTCTTCTTCAGGCAGTGTCACAGAAGCTTCACAGAGTTGTTTTGTTGTTGACACTGAATCATCTGGTCTCTTCTCCTCCACTATGTTTTATGTGTTGCCTTTGTTACAGAATAGAGCGTTAAAGCAGTTTCTCAAAATTTACTCGTACTTGGTGTGCATGTAATGATAACCTCAGCTGGGATTGAGGGAACTGTCCTGGTACCTACTTGAGGGGGTGGGAGGGAAGGCAAAATAAAATGCTGTTCTTTTGGGCTTTCTCATGGATCAGCGTGTTTATATGATAAATCCAATTTCTGCTGACAGTTCTGTGATGATGGGTTCGAGTTTATTAAATATGAAAGTAGCTTGTAGCCCCTCCACCCAGCTGAATTAATACAGTTGAAAGAGAGGATGACTGGATGTTTGAAGAGAGTGGCAATTAGTAATGAATTCTTGATGAGTTTACCTGTAGCTATGCGATTTGTTTCACACAGTAGTAATGAGAATTGCTAAATATACTTGGGAAAGCTGGCTTACCTGAGTCAGTTTGATGATAGCTCACTGATCTCCACTATCTAGGCTTTGCGAGCATTATCTCATTCATCTCTTCTTAGGTTTTGAAAGGAGGTTGTCACCTCCTCCTGGTGGACAAATGTCCATATCTTGGTAATCTGCCACAGACACGTTTGTCACCAACTGCCTGAGCTAGAGTGCCAGGAAAATAGTAAAAGTACAAGATGGATTGAGAGGCTACTTACAGAGCAGGCTTTAGTTCCTTTTTGATAGAGCAGAGACAAAGTTAGATAAACTGTTGTGCAAGTGGCATCAATTTTCTGGTTAAAATATCACTCTCCAGAGCCACTACTGATGCTTTTTTTTATTAGCAATGATTTTTTTTTTTTTTTTTTTTAAGTTCTTTTTCGTGTGTGTGTGTGTGTGTGTGTGTGTGTGTGTGTTTGGACTTGGTAACCATGCAGAAAGCACTCTGATATCTTTGTTATTTGTTTATTGTTGGCTGTAATCTAAATCCGATTCCTTATTTCTTCCCTAGGAATGGGCATTAATTCTCAGAATCCTCGAATTTCAGGTCCAAACCCAGTGGGTCCAATGCCAACCCTTAGCCCCATGGGAATGACCCAGCCTCTTTCCCATAACAACCAGATGCCCTCTCCAAATGCTATGGGACCCAATATACCTCCTCATGGGGTCCCCGTGGGACCCGGCCTGATGTCACACAACCCAATGATGGGGCACGGTTCCCAAGAGTCTCCAATGGTACCTCAAGGACGCCTGGGCTTCCCACAGGGGTTCCCTCCTGTACAGTCTCCTCCACAGCAGGTGCCCTTCCCACACAACGGGCCCAGCGGTGGACAAGGCAACTTCCCAGCGGGAATGGGTTTCCATGGAGAAGGACCTCTGGGGCGTCCCACCAACCTGCCCCAAAGTTCGACAGATCCAGCACTTTGCAAGACTGGAGGCCCTGGTGGTCCAGACTCCTTCACTGTTCTCGGAAACAATATGCCTTCGGTTTTCACTGACCCAGAGCTGCAGGAGGTGATCCGTCCTGGAGCCACGGGAATACCTGAGTTTGACCTGTCCCGGATTATCCCGTCGGAGAAGCCCAGCCAGACGCTACAGTATTTCCCTCGCGGAGAGGTGCCAGGCCGCAAGCAACCGCAGGGCCCCGGGCCCGGGTTCTCCCACATGCAGGGAATGATTGGAGAGCAGACCCCGCGGATGGGACTAACGTTGCCTGGCATGGGGGGCCCCGGGCCAGTGGGAACTCCGGATATCCCCCTTGGGACGGCTCCGTCCATGCCGGGTCACAACCCGATGAGACCGCCGGCCTTTCTGCAGCAAGGCATGATGGGGCCGCACCATCGCATGATGTCACCAGCACAAACAGCAATGCCTGGCCAGCCTGCGCTAATGAGCAACCCTGTGGCTGCCGTGGGCATGATCCCAGGCAAGGACCGAGCCCCCGCCGGGCTGTACAGCCACCCGGGCCCTGTGGGGTCACCTGGGATGATGATGTCAATGCAGGGCATGATGGGACCCCAGCAAAACATCATGATTCCCCCCCAGATGAGGCCCCGAGGTATGGCTGCTGATGTTGGCATGGGAGGATTTAGCCAAGGCCCTGGAAACCCAGGGAACATGATGTTTTAAGCTGCTACCGTAAGACTGGATGTTCCGATCCTTGTCAAGATGAGATTCCAAGTCCTGAGGGCTTTTTTGGGAGCTTCAGGAGTACAGTTTGGCCATGCAATAGGTGAAAAGAGACCAGAGAACACTTTGGGAAATCTCGAATGTATGGAATTACCTGAAAAAAAAATTATTCATTTTAACAGGTTGGTTTTTTTTTTTTTTTCTTTTTTTTTTTTTTAAGATTTATTTTTTAAAAATTATTTTTGTGGACTTGGGTATCCCGTGATGGCACCTGCTTTGAGAATCTGTAGCTGTATTTTGAGAATTGCCATTTGTCACAAGTTGCACCATTCTCTGTATGTTTACGTCCTTTGGACTGGCTTCTCCCAGGACTCTCAGTTATTTTGTTTTTTTTTTTTTTTTTTTTTTTTGTGTACTGTACTATATTGTAAAAGGGATTTTAGCAGAGACTTTAGTCTTTGGGGTGAGAGGAGAATGGGATTCTAGGCTGTTTACTTTAGGTGGAGAATCCATCTTCAGAACTTCGGACTATTTTCCTTCAACTCCAATGTATAGAAAAACCAAACTACGACCTCAGAGCAGAGTATTAATGAAAAGCACAAAAAGGAACTTAAGTTCAGTGAGGGGAATCTTTTAAAAGAAATAAATAATAAGTTAAGGACATATTTTTCAAATTATGGCGTGCTGTCCAGCACCTTCTGTCTCTCCCTCCCACTCTTTTATTAAATAGGCTTCTCTCTCTCTCCGTCCCCCTTCTATCTCCTCCTATGGCAGCTGCAATACATTGTGTTATTTTGGGGGGTAAATCTAGGTGCGCCTCTCCTCACGTGGGGACTCTTCCCACTTCTAGGAAGGGGCTGGACTTGGACACTGTTACATTCTACAGTAGTCTCTCTCACTGTTTCCTATTCTCCTTTTCTTAGAAACCCCAAGTGATTTTATTAATGTGGGAGTGGAACAGACACTAAAAGTTATCCAGAATTTTTTTTGTGGTTATTTTTTTTTTTTTTTTTTCCTCCCCAGCGTAAAACGTTCTGTGTAACCTCCATTAAATTTGGTACAAAACCACTCGCCAGGGCTGTGGTGTCAGAAAAATAAAATATATTGTTTCTTACAAAGATGAACTGTCTTTTTTATCCAATTCAGTTGTTTCCTATGTGCATCGAATGTCTGGCAAGATGACCATTTGTTCTTTCCTATGATCACAGATAGTCTGGTGGCTAGGTGGGGCAAGCTGCGGCAGCTCGTAAAAATCAAGTCTGTAGGAGCCACGTGCTCTTTGCAAGGTGCTTCTGTTTGCTTACTCTTGAATGGAGCTTGGTTTTCCTTGGAGTGAGGCCTTATTTCTGAATGCCCTAGGGATGATGGTTACGATCTTTCCTTACTGGCAGTTCAAAGATAACGCCTGCTGTTTCTATTGCTTTCTCTCGGCAAGCGCTTGCAGCTCTACAAGGTAGGTGGTTTCAGTTTTCCCAAAGCAGCAAAGTCCACCTGCTGAGCACTGGAGTCTTAGAGCTGTGCAGGGTGCTTGGGCTGTGTCCCCCTTGCCCCCTTTGACCCCCAGGGGGCTTTGGATTGGGTAGCATCTCTGACTTCTGTCACTCGGAGGTTGAGATAGCAGGGAATGGATGAACTTAAATAGCAAAGGTGAGAAAGAAGTTATCAGTGAGCAGATTTTTATCAAGATGGCCCTGCTGGGTAAATTATTGCTTTGCTGCAGTTGTCATTGATTGCTTCCTAATCCTGCCTTTTCACGCTTGCCTTCTGAGTTTCAGTGAGCAGGTTTTTGGGTTTTGTCTACGAGAAGCAAAGGACTGGATGCTAAGCCAGGTCTGTGAGTTGAGCCCCACTGCTGGAGACAACTGGGATATATCAGATCTGTAGAGAAGGGAGCAGGCCTCTATAGCTCTCTGCTTGCCCTAGCACTGTGTATGCAACATGTAGTCTCTTCCTCTCACTTGTCCTTATTTGAAATTATTTAAATTAGTAGTTTCCTCAAAAGGCTGTCAATTTGTGTGAAACTTCACATGAGAATGAGCACCTTTAATATGCTTGCGTGTGAGGGTTTGTGAAAGTTGGCTGATGTTTAAAGGATGGAAAAAGAGTTTCTGTCCATGGCTGTTTTACCAAAGTTTAGTTGCCAGTGTTACAAAATGAATGAACCCACACACATCAGAAGGCACGCAGTCTTCAAAGCATTGTGTCGGCTGTTCCAAATTCACCTTTGTGCTGTCATGCAAATTTGAAATGATTTTGGGTGAGAATTACTCTTCTGACAACGTGTGGGATGTGTGTTGTGGTGCTTCCCTCTAACAAGACAAGTAGCGTGCCTGAAGCATGGGCTTGTCAAGATTTCAGACAGCTGACAATGACACAGTAAGTGTTATTCCTGTACAGTGGAGTTACCTTTTCTTTAAATGGTTGCACAGTTCCTTTTTCAGGATCTTGGAAATTGTCATAGTGCAACTTTTTTAAACAGTTCTGCTGCTGCCATGTTTGGCTGTTTTACCATGTTGAACAAGGCGAACTTGACTGTCGTGGTAATAAGCAGAATTCTTTATTTTTTTTTCTTTAATACGTCTTCCCCATTCTTTCCTATACATGTTTGAGGTATTTTGAGTAGCAAAGGATATGAAATGACTGCATCAAAGGCCCTTAGCAAGTGAAAAGATGCATTTTTAAGATATTAGGTAATTAAAGCTCCTTCTGCGTCCAACTTCAAATGTTGGCATTTGGTGTCTTAACAAGATTTTTCCTGCAGAAAATGCAAGAGGCTTGGCTTCTCCTGCGTCACATAGGTCCCCTTAACCTCAGTGGCATTCCCAGCTACGAGATTCAAAGGCTTCAGCTGGATCCAGTTAGAAAAAAAAAATAAATTGGTAGATATGGACTGAGCTGCCCTGTTTTGTTCTAATCTCACTTTTTCCCCTTCTCAGCTCTCAAATGCAAAAGCTTTCTAGCTGCCAGCCTTGCATATTCACCTTAGGATGTAAGTTCAGGCTCTGCTCTTTCCTGCTTGTTTTTAATAGTAGCTATGACTCAGCTCTGGTAGTCATGGTGCACTTGAAGAAGGATAATGGGGCTGCCGTTTTTAGTTCCTCTCCTCCATCGATTTTTTTTTTTTTTTTTTTTCCTTCTTCTTCTTTTTTTTTTTAATTTCCAAATCCTCCTCCTCTACCTTTTGTTTGAAAGAATGAAATAGACTTTATTCATACATGCTTGGCTGCTCTTCCTCTCTAGTAGCATGGGAGGAAACAGTCTGCTGTTCAAATTATCTCATCCCAGATGGCTGCGCAGCCGGAGCGCAGAGACTTAAAAGGTAAACCCAGCAGATGGTGAACTTCTGAAACGCAAAGTAATGTGCCTGCTAAATCAAAAGTTTAAAATGTTTTAAATCTGTTTGTTTTAAAGTAGTAGACTGTTGTGAACAGGTCACCTGTGAAGTACGCTGGCAGTTTTAAGCACTGCCCGAATGAATTTGAGCTTTGTGCCTGTATTGTGGGTTAGCTAATCCACCAAAGGGTGTTACAAGCAACGTTCTAGACCAACTGGCTTAGTACCAAACTCCTAGTGGTACCCAATGGGTAATGTTTCAGAAAACAGACCAATGTGTGGAGATCTTCTTCAGTGTTGGTTGGGATTTGAGTACTGGCTGTGCTTCTGGTATGTTGCACGGGTCCTGACTTGGGGTAGATGTGAGAAACTGACCCCTCCTAAGGAGGGTAAGAGGGTGCTTCACTGTATTGATTAAGTAGTAATCCTAAAGCTATCCCAAGATGTAAGTTTTGTGTTATGTAGCCTGTGTCATCATCCTGATGAGGTGACCTCTCGCTGAAAGATTTTCCTATTCTGAAGCAGTCCATGTAGTTTCCAATTATTTCTGTTAATGCTCTTTGTTGTGATAGATGAGTAACACTGAGCTTTATTGTGTTAGTCATGTTTAAGATTAAAGCACATTATCTAGAGTGGATTATTTTTTTTTTTTCAGGCCTTAAACTCCCAACTCAAACTGCTAGCTTTATTATGTTGGATTCGTTGACAAATATAGAATCCTGGAATCATTAACGTTGGAAAGACCTCTACAATCATCCAGTGCAGCCATCAATACATCACCACCATACCACTAAACCACGTCACTCAAAATATATTAAGCTCAATATCCCCTTGATCTTCATGTTCAGCCAGTAAGTCTTCAGTGCTTGTGGTCCTTCACTGAGTGATGTGGGTCCTCTCAACTTATTGCATAACTACGCTTTACACTCCTGGTTACTTTTGTTTGAGGCAGAGTGTGAGGCAGAAAAGCAGTGCTGTTTTGTTTGAGATGCTAGAAATCTTCAGAGCAGCTCAAGTTCATGAGGGAACCTGAGGCTGAACTCCGTTAGTTCACTTCAGCAGCACTCCTACTAACAGCCTTGGGGTAAGAAAGTTTCAGATTTTCTTTGTGTCCCATTAGTTTGGATTTGTCTTTTCTGGTTCTTATGGAAAGTAGGCTATTCCATATAGATGCATTGGTTCTGGAGCGAACTTATGTCTCTCTCTCTCTCTGTATCTTCTTTATATATATACACACACACATATATACAATTTTACTATTTTTATTTATGTATTCATTTTCTCAGAAATGCCTCAGTTCTTCTGCAGTTTGGCACTTGCTAGCTGTTTCCTGTGATCTTTGAACCTTTCCACTGTCCCATCAATCCCACTTCCAAAATCAGTATTTAAATGTGCCTCCTTCCATGACAACTTTGGAGATGTTTGATGGGCTTTAGCCAGTGTGCTGTCCAAGCAACTCTGTACCAAGGAGAAGGATAAGGCAGAGTTTGGTGCAGAGGGTGGTGCAGAAATCTTTGAGACAAGTATGAATAACCTGTTCAGAGGTTCCTTCCTAGCTGCTGCCAAGATGTTGGCTTGTTTTTCTAAAATCCTTTGCTGTTGTAATAATGTATTTCAGTACATTTCAGTATGTTTTTCTGCCTAGAGCAATTAGATTATTTTAATAGTGTGAATGCAATGCCCTCTAACAGTCATAGGAGCACTAGAATAGCTTGTGCTGCTGAATTCTGTTGATCTTGAGTGTGTTGCAGTTTCTGAGTGTTGCAACTGCATTTGCCACTCAATTTTGCTGGGACATGCTCTTGGCTCTTGTTTCAGAATGTGCATGAATTCCTGCTTTGCTTACCATCACAGCTCAAGCCTCCAGCAACGTTCCTTAATATCCCCCTTCTGAAGCAGTCCCTGTCTTGCAAATGGCTTCCAATCGTACACCTCGTGTTTCAGTCACCACTCTCCATATGCTTCATACCATGCCTACGAGAGAGCTTGATTAGAGCGGATCACGATGTTCTTAAGCAAGGCCATTGATTTTTATATAACAGTATTAAGGTTTTAGGCTGTATAAAGAGCTCAGTGGAAAATAGCAATGTTTTGTTTGCTTTTTTTGACGGCTTCTAATAGCAGTTCAGTGAGACCTCCAGCAATGTATTTAATACTCAAGTCATTCTGTTCATTGTGCACGGTGTCAACAAGTAACTGTAGTGGGGGTAGCCTAAGGAAAGAGTAGCATTAAATCATCCACCCCACTCTTCCTGGGAGAAGGTACTCAAATGCCTGCAGTCACCTATCTGTCAGTGGTTCACTTTTAACATTGCTGCAGTCTAAGTGAGAAGGGGTATTGCAGAACCAATGCTGCAGCACCACTTCAATAACTGGTCCCCCTGTTTTAGCCTTTCCATATCTCCAAAAAAGTAGGATCCAAGTTTTATTTACTGAGAGAGAAATTTTGGCAATATAGTGGTCCTTGTACTGTCCTTTAGGAAAAACTGTCAGCATCACAGCTAGAAATGCTTCTGTTGGCTATGCTGGTAATGCTCCTTTTTTAGCAAGTGCATCGTACGAGGGCTGCTCCAAAAATAATGCCTTCTGTTGTATTATGATATTAGAGGTGGATGTTGGTGATGTGGCAGCAAAAGTTGAACCTTCCCATCAATACTCTGTTACATTTTGTTGCTGCAGAACAGATGGTAGCAGAGGGGCAGTCTTACAAAATGGCATCTGATGTGGAATTGCAGATGAAACAAAGGTGTGTCATTAAATTCCTTCATGTGGAAAAAATGGCACCTACGGACATTCATCAATGCTTGCTGAATGTTTATGGAGGCAAAACAGTGGATGTGAGCACAGTGAGGTGGTGGATGGTGCATTTCAGCAGTGGTGACAGTGACATGAAAGACAAGTCATATTCCAGACAGCTGTGCATAGCTGTCACACCATGAAATGAAGAGCATCTCCATCAGCTCATCCATATGAATCAGCAGATTATGACCAGGCAACTCTGCGCAGAGCTGAATGTTGGCTTAAATGCATTGGAAACAATGGTGCCAGTGTTGGAATATAAAAAAATTTGCAGCAGGTGGGTCCCACAAATTCTCACACAGGAACAGAAAGAACACCACATGTAAGTTTGTCAGGACCTGTTGAACCAATATGAGGCTGAAGGTGACAGTTTCATGGATTGCATCATTATTGGTCATGAGACGTGGTGTCACCACTGTGAGCTGAAGTTGAAACAGCAGTCCGTGGAATGGCAACTGTAAATTCTCCATCAAAGAAAAAGTTAAAGATGCAGCTCTCAGTGGCTGTGGTGATGTGCGCTATCTTTTGGTACAGGAAAGGGGTGGATTTCCTGGAAGCCTGAGTAACCATCCAATCTGACATCTGTATTGTGATGCTGACTAAGCTGAAAGCTCTTAATTTCCTGAGTCAGGCCAGAGAAGAGGACAACTTTTCTGTTGCAATATGATAATTCCAAGTTGGAGGGCAATCTTGGCTGGACCGTTCTACCACATCTCCCATATAGTATGGATTTGGTGCCTCCTGACATCCAGCTGTTGGGGCCAATGACTGCACGGGCAACATTTTCCTAGCCACAACATCATGATAGCAGCTGTGAAACACCAGGTCACCTCCTCTGCTGTAGATTTCTATGAGTGTGGTATGTTGGCTTTTGTTCATTGTTGGTGAAAATGCATAGCTAATGGTGGCGACTGCTGAGAAAGTGTTTTTTAGCTGAGGATTTGCTCTAACAAACAGAGCCATTATACTCCTTGTAGATGTTGTAGTTTCCATGGGGAAAAAAAAGTTGGAGGCATTACTTTTGGAGTGACTTACATAGCTGCAACACTGCCCAAAGCTGAAGGCAGTAGCAGCTCCACAGACTTCTTTGTTTAAAGTGTATTTAACCAAGGTTCACCAAGAGTGCCTGTTCTTGTTCTTGGCCCACTGTTTGTTTTGCATGTTCACTGCAGAATTTCTATAATTATAGGATTGCAAGGAAGAGCTCAGGAGACTTACTGTCCCTTTGGAGAGGTTTTGTGTGCACAAAAGTGCACTTGAGAAGATGAGGTAGCTAATGCTTGTGATTTGGGAGGTTCGTTTATCTGCAACGTGACAAGAAAGGGAAAGGCACAGGAGCTTCTGCAGCTCTTAATTCTGGTAGCACAAAGCAAGCTGGGCTTCATCTCACAATCCCAGCATATGACGAGCTGTTATGCTTTCATGCATTCCTACAGCTGCAGGGCAGTTCAAATAGGGCTCTTCTCTCCCTTGCTGTTTTCGGACTCTTGCTGCCTTTGTATGGCTGTCTCAGAAGTGAACTTGAGCCATTTTGTTATTCAGCTTCCTTCCTCTTGCTGCTAACAGTGAAATGTGACACTGTGCCACCCTGTGTCTGGTCAGAAAAACTTCCCTCATCTAAAATAGCTTTACAATAGGGAAAGTTGGCTGGCAAGAATACAAATAGTCAAAGATTCTGATGATATCAAACTATTTAATTTAAGACAACTGTTTACAAGTCATTTTGCTGACTCCCCTCTGTTTGAGAGCACAGGTTATTGTATTCCTCTGGACTGATTGAGTACTGCGAAAGAACTTTTAGAAATTCTTCTAGTGGGCAGAGGCCTGCTCTGCATCCTTTCACCACTTGCTCCTGCAAAGGCAAAGAGACAAAATCATAGATCTCATGCACTGCTAGCGTCGTTGTTAATCCAAATGCATTCTGCAGCAGGGAAATAAACTGGTTGAAGCAAGTCCTTGTGTGAGGTTGCATCAGATCAATGGTCAGCTCAGTAGAAAAGATACCTTGGCTACTATGGATGTGCTTTATGAGTCTTACTCTGTTACTTAGCTTGACAGCATGCTCAAAACAAATCTTATTTCACGGCCTTACACAGATGTAGAGCAAAACCAAAAGCTCAGGATTTGTAAGGTGGGCTTCCTATGGGATCATACCTCTCCGTGGTAAGACACGCGAATGAACCACTCTTTGGACTGCCGGTGCCGATACAGTTCAAGGGTCACATCTGCAGCATAAGGGGGCCACTTGTGATCAAAGGTGCCCAGGGCCATCAGGAGAGGAATAAGGGTAACATCATGAGAAGCATACAGAATGAGCTTTCTGATAATTAAAAAAAAAAAAAAAAAAAAAGGAAAAAAAATCATCCTAAATGATTAGCTGTCTTTCTCCATGGATAGTCAGTATCGCTTATGCTTTTTCTAGCAGACAAGCACTCATTCTCTCTACCCACCCCCTGAACATCCTTCTGAACCAGTTTTTCACACTGACAGCAAGTCAGAATTTAGGATTAGAGGGAGAGATCTGCCCTGTACCTGGACTTTTCAGCTGGAGATGAGGGATCTGCTGCTTCTGTAATGTTCTTCTGTAAGGTATAGAAAAGGAGACCAACACTCATCTGAAGAACTTCTCTATAAAAGAAGCAGAAATAAATCTAACTTTTTAACCTTCTAGTTACTTAATTTCAAATGAACACTTGTAAACCTGCTTTTCCCTTACAAACTGATAATGTGTATTGAATGCAGCTAAGAACTACTGAATGTGATCCCTATGATTATGTTTTCTTTCAGCAGTTGCTTACTCACCGCAGAGATTCCAATGTGATTGCAGGAAAGGGAGAAATGCTCACAAGATGTGGTATGCTAAAAGGAAGACCCAGAAACTCCTTGATGTTCTCTATCCTATTTTGTTTCCCTATCTTGTGATTCTGGAAGCATAGATTTTACTAGGGAAGATGACAGTAGCTGACTCTAAAAGAACAACTGAAGTGTTGGGTGCCTTTGGGAGTAGGAATAAGAAGAAAGCTACTACTTTCTTTTTTTCTTTTTTAGTATTGTTGTCTCTGTAGCAGAGAGGAGCTCTGCAACAGATGACTTCTGTTGTGAAGAAACTGTCTAATTAATGAATACCTAAGTGGAAATGGGAGTATGACTGTGATTGTGGCTGTACTGGGTATTATAGAATTGGGAGAAAACTCATTCAATACTTGAGATCTCTAATACAAGATAAGGAAAAGGCTAAGGCCAAGTGCCCTCCCAGAGAAGGCAGCCCTATGCCATCATCTGAGAAGAGCAGATGACTGTGGCAGCTGTGACGGATTCTGGAAAGCTGCTGCTAGGTTAGCAACTTCACCACCTTTACAAATGACTGTGAAGCAAGTAATTAATTGCATGTAGCAACAGGTCTTTTGCAAGTTGTTACATGTGTAGAGCTGGCATTACCTTCTCCCCTAGCATCAACACTTTGCAGCCCAGCTGTGCAAGTGCCATCTCTGGAATAAATGTACCTGGTCGGAATTCAAAACATACTTGTGTGTCTGCAAGGACAGCCTTGCCTTGTGCAGCTTCAGCACCCAGGCTTGAAGCATTTCTCTTCTGCTTTTGCTTGTAACACAGGTTCACTGATGCCACTTTATCAACTGAACCATTCACTGCTTACCAGTGGCTTGCTCCTGTTTCCTGGACATTAATTCCTCCATGGCTGCCAGCAAAACAGGACCTAAATACACATCTTGCCTCCTCAGTATGGGCTCCTTTGTCCTAGATCATATTCCTGACTTGAGGCACTGAACTTGGTGTTGGGATGGCTGAGGCACAGACCTGATGAAAGGACAACAACCTCTGATAGGGAAACTGAGCAAACTGGAAAGTACTCTTCCTGTCTGCCACTGTAAGCTGGTACAGCTCATCCAACCTGGGGAACCTAAAACAAAGGCTAAGGCTGGAGGCACGAACAGAAGCTATCACCTTGAACCGTCTTCCAGAACGAAAAGCAACGACTCTATGCATCGACGCTCGATAGTCTGCTGAAAGTCTTTCAGCACAGGGCAGCTTGGCAAACCGTGCACCTGGAAGGAAAGAAGGCAGCATAAGAACAGGTTTGCTCTTTTCCATGCCAATGCTGAATCCACATAAATGATCACCTTCAGAAAACAGTTGTTTGTATCACAGCATTTGTACTACTGTGCATGCTACAATTCTCACATGAGCTGTTCTAGTATGTTTTTTTAAACACAGAGACTTGTTCTATGTACCAGAAGATTGGATGTCTTTTCTTGATGCTAGATGAAGAAAGTATAACAGGCCTTGAGCTAGTCAACTCGCAGCAAGACCACCAAGTCCAATCACCAATTACTAGTTGCTCCAGCAAAAAAGGTGTATTAAGAAGAGACACAAACATGCCCAGCTCTCTTCCAGAAGCAGAGACAATCTGACTCAGGTGTAGTGTGCTGGAACCAGAATTAAGATGATCTTGTTAGGTGCTGACTATCAAAAAAAGGGACAACACTGTGCAGTGGGGTAAACAAGGACCAACCACACTCTTAGATCTACTGCATTATGCTTGAAAAAAAGATACTGGATTTCAAGGTAAGAACATGAACATGGGAGATGCATCTAGAAGAAGGCTGACTCTGTTATCTTGCTTTTCAGAAAGACCAAACTGTTTCTACTAACTTCCTGAATTGCATAAAGAGGTACTGGGATACCCAATAGTATCAGTGAGAGTTGGCACCTCTATTATCTTCTCCATATGCCTGGGGTCAGGAAAAAAAAGAAAAAGATTGTTTCTTTATACGACAGTGCAACAGATCACCAGCTCACC